CCCCCCCCCCCCCCCCCATAAATAAATAAAAAAGCAGTCTGTGGTAGGAGTGGGAAATATCTGATTATGACATGGATTTAGTTGTCTGACAGGAAGATGTCTGTCCTAGTCATTTAAGAAACAAATTTAAATGAATGAATGCTGCTGTTTATGACTATATAAAGAAACTTCTCTGTGAAAACACTTCCCTGCGTCTTTTTAGTGCCATTTTTAGCCACTGTTCTAGTTTCTCACATTCTAGTATGCCTGAATCTCAGTCTCTGGCTGTTTCAGGGATACAGGTTGTAGTCATATTGGTCTACAGGTAAAAGGAATCGGAACTCGGGGTAGAGGTGATATCTTTTATTAGACCAACTAGATATTTGCAAAAAAATTATTTATTTGCAAGCTTTCGGACACACTTCCCCTTCTTCAGGCATAGGAGAATGCAAAGATGGTAAAATTTCTCCTAGGTGGAAACAAATTCATATTTCACAGGAGAGCTGAAGGTGGTGTAAGATCTCCTGGGTGGAAAAAATCAGTTTTGTGCCAATTAGGTTCGGATAAAAGTTAGAGCAGTCTATTTACTTGTTAATATCTGGCTATAGCATTTCATTTTATATTGAAAGAAGAATAAAAACTGAGCAAGTAAGACCATGAGTGGTATTTTGTTCTGATTCTGAATATTTATTTGAATTTGAAACAAATAGCTCCTAGATTTTTATAGCATGAATAGTGTTAGTCTGGCTTGAAACCAAGATCAGATCAGGCAATATATCTTGTCTAGTGCTGCCATCAGTTGCTCATTTGGGTTGCATGTGTATTGTTCCCAATCCCCTTTCAGTCCAGTAGAGAATAGCATGGTGCATCTGTAAAGAATCTAGAATTAGTTCATCTGCCTCAGGTCACAAAGTGTGTGTTACTGTTTATATACCGGTTTCAGGTCCTTTTTAGAAAAATGAGTATATGCTTTGGGTGTCTTGCATGCAAGTGAAAAGTTGCATGCTTTCTCCTCAACCAGAGTAGACACTAGAAGAAACCACTGGGATCCTTCATCATATCAATAAATAACTATTTTCCAAGTGACAAGCAAAAGCCTTTAAGGATAACTTTCTAAAAGTAGCAGGATTTTTTTCAAACTTATGCTGGGGCTGCCATTTTTCTATATAAATAAGACCATGCCCTAACTATTTCAAAATCAGAAGAGCAACAGTAATAATATAGAACTCTTGAAATATGTGGTATTGGGAGGTATGTACTCTAAGCAGGAAAGGATTTCAATTTTCCAATTCTCCAAATAAGTCTAACTTTATCTCTTGACAACAGATTTTTAAAGTAGTGGGGGCCAATCTATTTGGCAGGCATGCCATAGATTAGCCCTGCACCCTTCTTGAATGCCACTCCAGTCTCCTTCCCCTCTCTGATTTACTGCTCTTCTTTCTCTTTGCCTTAATATCTGCTGTCCTGCCTGTCCACTCCCTGATCTGCTGCATGCCACACACAGACTGCCCATACTACTTGCAGTACATGTACCACAGGTTGGTGCCATCCTTGCTTTTAAAGGACTACAACTGGGAACTTCATGATTATCTTTTTTTCTTTTTTTTTTAAGCTACTAATTTAGTCACAAACTAAGGGCTCCATAATAAATTATTTTGAGTGTAGATTCAGAAGAAACTACCAAACTTTTCTTGGATAACTGAATAATAAAGCTATTGTTTAAAGAGTAAAATATCCTCTATCAGTGTCAAGAACAAACTATATATTTTTGAGTGGACAGAGTACTCCTTGTATAAGGAATTTTAGAAACAGTAGGAAACTAAACAAGATCTAGAATCTCTTATGTCATCACACAACATAGTCTGAACCGTGTTCTGCATTTTTATCTATTAAAAAAAAAAAAAGTGGATGGAGCAAGGAACTGTCTTGCTAGTTTAACACTTTACTTTTTTTTTCTTTCCCACAATCATTAAAGACTTAATTACAGACATGTATAATTCTATACTGTAAATTTCTGAGCTTGAAATATTATATAAGGATAGAGAGGCCAAATTCCTCAGCTAACAGAAGCTGTTTGAAAACCTCCATAACTGACAGAGGTTAAAGAAGCTACAACACTGAAAAAGCTCCAGTGCCTTATGATGTTGTTGTTTTTAAAGAGCTTCACAATCAGTTATTCCCTTCCTGTTTAAATTGTGCAATTCCTGAAACTAAAATAAGTCACAAGTACAAACTAATCCCTCATATTTCTATTTGTTATGGTCCATTTTTAAAAAAAATTTGTTCTTTTATATAGCACTAATTGCAACGGGTTTTTTGGTGCTTTGATATTGCATCCAAATAAATTATAAAATACTTATAAAAAATCCATTTCAAGGGAGCTGCATGAGCAAGTATTAACAGACCAAACAGTTTTTCAAGAAACTTGGAAAAATTCCTGATAATCTTGGCAGATAATTTTAAACAGTACTGGTTTGTACCAGAGAAACTAAAATGAAATCTAAGACTTCCTCTATAGATAATGAAGCATTGGGTTGTGTAGAATGTCCACAAAGTCTTTACATATGAGAGTTTTTTCTTTAAAGTATTGGTTCATCACTTGAACCATGACTACTTGTCTCATAGCAGTACAGATCTTTTTAAAAAATGTTCATTTTCTTTTCCATCTACGTTTATTATGTGAGCAAATAGAGTAACTATGAAAGTTCCCTTGACCATTTCTGAATGAATAAAATATCTTGGAATGGAAGGTCTTCAGGGCTAGGGACAGACTATCAGAAAGCCTGAGCCTAAATTGATTCAATCTTCGCAGGCTTCTGTAAACTGCTTAGATTGAACCAATAAGAGTGAACTGATGTTTGCTTTTCAATAGTGAAAGGCAGACAGACCCCTGCATTGGGCCATTCCAGGTGCCAGGGCTGCTAGAACTCGCCTCCCAGCCTGTCGGCCAGCACAGAGAGCCGGGGGACAGTGATTCCCCCCCCCCCCCCCCCCCCCCC